TGTTCCCACAACACCGGTTATGTCTCTTGCCATTCGTTTTTTATAAGAATTCTGCTTTCACAACCAGGTTGTCCATCCCTCAAAAGAAGTTTGAAGAAAAGGCAAACAAGCTGGCTGAATTTCTGAGACATTGCATTGCATTAACAATTTAACTTGTTTAAGAGACCATGCCGTATTAAACAACATTTGTTGCTTGCCAGTTTTCCTAATTACAAATGGTCCAATTTCAAAAATTCTCGGGCTCAATACAACTGGTGGTTGGGTGGTAGGTGCTGCAATGTTGACATCAAGTTCCCCCCAGTATTTTATATTGTTTTTACCACACGTGATTTTATGGGAAAATTGTACAGCAGTTAAACCAAAAGTTCTGATTTTGAATTTCACAGTATAAAACACAGCCATAAAGTCCTGTGCCATAACTGTATACAGGTTCGATGAGGGATTCAGCAATTAATTTACGTGTTACTGTAACATCATCACCTCGTGTTACTATGAAAGGAGGAAAAACATTCTTTTTGTCATCCAACACTAAGGGGGTGCTTCTTCATGTCCCTCGGTGTTCTGTGAAAAGTAAACACAACAGAGTCTGCCTCCAGGAGGCAGGAGATTAAAATGATGGAACTATCCAGCACGTAACACAGACTGGAATTCTGTTAACTTACCAATCATTTTGCTGCCAAAAAGGGAGCCACTCTGTACCTCCTTTAAGCACAGCAAAAGGAGGCCACTCTGTACTGCCTTTAAACACAGCATAAGAGTCAGTGTAGATGTAAACAAGAGAGGTATTCTGTACCTCACATTGAAAAACACTGCAAACAACCCGAAAGCTGCCTCCTCCCGCATCAGTTACTGAGGCAGGTTTGTCTTGGCTGCTACCCAAGTTCTCAGTTTCTTGTAGTGTCAGATTTTTTACAGCTCCTTCTTTTAATCCTTAGAGCTTGTTGGAGATCTTTCCTGGACTCAGGCATTTTAATCTGATCTAAAGAGGTTAGGGTATCAGGTGGAATACATGTCATACCTCCTTTCCACCAAATTCCTTAAAACTTCACTTCCTGAAAAGGTTTTTGAATTTTCTGAGAAGAAATTTGCAAATTAAGGCTTTCCAAATGGGAGATTATTTTTTTGTTGGGTATCTCCCACTACTTTTATTTCGTCTCCTCCCACCAGGATATCTACATTGTCAGGTTTGGGTATCTTTTCTAATTCCTGGGCTAAAGCATGGTGGGCCAAAGTAGGGGAGTGTTTGTACCCTTGGGAAAGCCTAGTGAAGGTATATTGCTTTGGCTCAACTCCCAGAGCCTGTGGAGAAGGTTGCTCTGGTACACTGCCCAAAACGTGTAGAGAAGGTTGCTCGGGAGGTGCATCATTGATATAATAATATTCTGTTTTAATCGCAGGTCTTAAGCTAGGGCAGCAGTGTTCTTCAAATTTTTCATCAAAGTTAGGTCTTTTTCAGGGTATATTTGATTAATGTGAACAGTTTCCTTCTCTTTCTTTTAGTGAGGCAGCATGCTTTGAATTTTTGGCCCATTCTTTTCTTAAGGCAGCTCGTAGAAATGGTTGTCATTCTTTTCTTCATCTAATTGTTTTTGCAAAATTTCGACCAAGTTTTGTAAAGAGTCTATAATTGTGCTTTCCTCATCTCTTCGCTTTAAGCGAGTTTCTATAGCAGCTATCAGACAAGCTCCCAAAAATGAACAGAGTATAGTTTTATTTTTACCCAGTTTGAATTTTGTTTCATGTTGCAAAGAACATATTCTATCAATCACATTTTCTAAATTAAGCCAATTACTGTTCGCCCACTCTTCCCCACCTTGGGAAGGTCCGGCATTGTATTTAGCTAATAGAGCATAAAATGCAGCTTTATCAGTCATTTTATGAAGGGGTAAGTAAAACCACAGCAGGAAGGTCTATTACTTAAGTCACAAAAACACAGAGAGAGCTTTCGCTGTGTGCCCCCCTTCACTTCCTTGTGTGGGTGAAGAGATCTACTGGTTGGGAGGTACACCTTAATTACAAATCTCTGGCCGTCTCTTCACTACACCAAGCAGTCAAAATTCACACAAAAACCAACAAAGAACAAAACCACAAAGTCCTGCCTTTTGCACCAAGGGATCCTTTGTGAAATTCTGATGGCAGAGCCCTTAAATGAGCATGGGGATGCTTTACATCTAGATGTGTGCAGTTTGCAGGAAATTCGAATTTCCCCCCTTGGCTTTCTAGACAAGCTCACTCCTTTCAAGGTGTCCCTCTAGCTGCGGCTGAGGCAATACATTTTCCCCTAATTTAAATGTCATGATCCACTTTTAACACTGGTGGGGGTCGTGATGGTTCGTTTTTGGATCTCAGTGGTGCAAAAGGCAACAACAGAGGACAAATCAGTTTGCTCAAAGCAAAATACACTTTATTGAGTGCCAAAAACTCAGTTTTGTGATAGAGGGAGAGTTAAAGGAAACAAAGTAAAGAGAGAGAGAGAGAGAGAGAAAAAGGGGGGGATGGGGAATAGCTACCAACAGACGAGATGGATTTCCTCGTGGTCTGGCCCAATAGACTCCAGTGTCCTCGTGGTCCCAGCCAATAGACACGTCTTCTGTGGGGAGATCTCAAAGGCTTCTCCAGAGGGTCGCTTTCTTAACGTCCTTTTCCAAAGTGAGTGGTGTCTGGGCAAGAGGTGGGAGATTTATGGGCCATTGTGAGGTGCTCGAGACAGAACATGCAGTGGTTGCAGTGGTGGCTACTCTGAGAAGCAGCTGTAGGTGCAGTACCTGTTCAAAGGCTCTGTACTGTGGACAGCACAGCAAGCACAGAGCACCAGCAAACAGTCCCTTGGCCAGAATCCACCTCGGCCAGGCCAGAACTCCTGTCCAGAAGCGGGTGGGGGTCCTTGGGACAACCTCTATCCTCGCGACGGTCATGAGGCAAATGAGGGAAACTCCAGACTGACTCTTACAGATGTATGTCCTAGAGTGATGTTACGGTGCTTGTACCCCCAATCGCGTGTTCTGTTTGTGCTTGGTATTATGTTCTGTGCTTTCAGGACTGACTCTGAAAGTGAAGGTTTGTTTTGTCTTGTTATCAGCCGGCTCACCTCCCCCATGGTCTGTGTTTAGGAGAGGCTAGGCTTGCTTGCTGGCTTGCTCGCTTGCTCTTGCTCCTACGATTTGCTTTTGCTCATTAGTTAGTTCAGCTAGGCAGTCCAATTTTTTCCCTGGACTGTTTTTTTTTTTCTCTCCCTTTCCTGAATACCATCTGAACCTGTTCCAGACGGCGACCTGGGAAACACCAAGAAACACCGGGAGTCTGCATTTTGTGATCTGTAGCAGTCATTCCCCAGTGCCAGAGACTGATAAATGGGCGACCACTCGCAGGAGATACTTTCTGATTTTGTCATCCATTCAGAGCGGTGAAAGAGTTTTTGTCATCTGATGTTGTTCATTTTTTTTGTGCTGGGGAGTGTTTTGCTTGTTAAATAAACAGGCTTTTTTTTCCCACTCCTCTCTGAGGAAATTCTTCCCAAACCCAGTGGTAGGGGGAGGAGTCATGTGGGTTTGCTTTCTGGGGGCTCCCTCCGGACGTTTTCCCCCAAATTTGCCCTAAACCAGGACAGTGTAAAGAAGGGATTACAGGCAATCTCACCCGTAATAAGTCACAGCTGTACTAATTACCAAAGAAGAGGAACAGCGTTGCCCTTAATGGGTTGTGGCTTTGATTAATAAAGATGAGTTTGTTAAGAGGGGTGGGTTAGCTGGTCAGTGGGATCCTTAAGGACATGAGAAAAAGGACCTTGAGGAGGCAGAGGAACCCTGAGGAAGAAGGAACGATTCAGAGAGATACAAAGAAGAATGAAACAAGAGAGCGAGTTGCTGCAGTAAAAGATCCACGAGAGGTGGGTCTGGGTCAGATGGAGTCAGAGCCTGCTATTGGAGTCTGCAGTCATAGTTGAGCTAGGTGAAAGCCTGCAGTCAGAGTCTGCAAACCAATACTTGCAGTCATAATCTAGCAGGAAATAGCCAGCAGTCAGAGCTGGACCCTACAGTAGGAGCTTGCTGTAGTAAGTCAGGATCACTAAGCTCTAATGAAGAATAAACTGGTACCCTTTTCATGTTGTTAAATGAGAGTCTGTGTCTTGGCTCATTTCTACCTCTAATGAGATGTCTGCTGCGACAAGATTCACTATTTTAAGAAAAAGTTCAATTAGAACCATAGAGTGCAAAATAAATTACCCTCATTGAACACTTCCAGGGTGCTGCATTTTTGTGACAGTTACAAGTACCATGAAATGTTCACTACCCACAGGTAGTCAAGAGCTCTTGCTGTATGTCCCTGAGAACTGGCACTTACAGAGAGCTCACACATCTTTCACGATCTGTTTCAGGAAAGCTTAACACAATCTGATTCTGCACCTGCGTTCCCACTGTGCTAGGATTTTCCTTAGAGACCTTCCATCTAGCAGTGCAGAAAATTAATCCCTTGTTTTTCATATTAGTGATTATGTAGCCGTGGAAAGGGATTTTAACCCTTTAAGTGCGTCGGAAATAAGATGCACGGCTACATGGTCATCTTTCATCATAGAAAGAAAGTTTATTCAGAAACACACTTGGTTTATAGCATGACTCGCAATTCCAAGAATAGAAAAAAGGTGATTGGTTCAGAGAGAAGGCACCCCATTCCCAGGGCCTGGTCACACACCACAACAGGTGTTCTATCTTGTTATTAATTCCTTTTTATTTTGACCAAATTATCACCCTGGGAGAAATTCTCCCTAGCCTTGAGCTGGACCAGCTTATCGGGTGGGAACAGAGCTGAAAAGCTCCAGCCTGGAATATTTTTTAGGCTGTAATTTTCTTACTTTCTCAATACGTGTCCCTACAGGTCCCCCTTCTGAAATATATTAAAAAAGGCAGAGAGAAGTGTTTGTGCTTCCCAGCAGGGCCAGGAAAAACAAACACAACCCAAAGACCTGAGGATATTTAAGTGCCAAGGGTTTGGTGTCTTTTCTCTGCCCAAATCCCATCACCAAGTGAAGTACAACGGTGGACAATTCACCACTAAGTGATTATACTAATACAATTGTGAAAACTGCAACCATTTCACACAAACACATATCAACAGTTCAATGAGCAGATGAATGTCCATTCCCCACATGTAGAGGGATCATCCCGTTGGTGTTTGGTTTGTTGTGCAGCATGGAAACTGAACAGTGACCACATTCTGCTTCCTCTGGTCAGGACAAAGTGAGCATTTCTTGCAGGTTACAGCAAGACGTGTCTCATCCAAAGCCTGTAATGAGGCAAAGGTGATTCACAAAAACAGGATTATTTTGATCTCTTTTTTCTCTTTTTCCAATTTCTCTGTTCTGCCTTGGAGACAGCAACAGAATTTTGCTGTTCTGCATTTGAGACAGCAATAGCTATAGGAAAAACCTGTGCTTCTCCCATTTGACTGTCATCCATGCAATTTGTCAGGAATTTTCCTGCAGAAATTGACTCAAGCACAGAAACATCTGCCTGAGAATTCCGTTTCCCCATGCCCACCCCAAGAATGGACCGAGACCCAGCCCCTACCCCTTTCGAAACGAGAACAGGGTAGTTGCTGGTGTCAGCACAGGGCTGGAGCGATGCAGCACGGTGGATCGGTGGGAGGAGTCCTTCTGAGACCGGACAGACAGACAGGTCTCCTCTGGTCAGTGAGATCGGCGCTGGGGTCAGCAAATCCGAGGAAAAAAATCATCTCTTCTTGGCGAATGAATGATGAGGCTGAGGGGGAAAGAGAAAACACCCTTTCCTCTGCTGGAGCAGAGAAAGAAGGCAGAGACCCAGGCCCCACAGAGGAGCTAGGCTCTGACACCAGAGAGAAGCGAGGAACCGGCACCATCCCCGGGCTCAGGAAGGGTGCCCGCCTCCGCCTCTCAGCAGCAAGCGGGTCGGGTTCCGACATCATCGTGAAAGGGCGGGCCAGCACCGCCGCTCTTTCTGAGAGCGAGGGTGTCAGCCCGGCAGGGGAGGGGGGAGTTGCCACGGCCCCTTCGGCTGGGGGGGGCGGCCGTGATGCCTTGAGGAGCTGGAACAGAGGTTGCACACAGAGTTAAGGGGAACAAATGGGTATTTATTGTGAGGCCCAAGAAAGGCCTACAAAGCCACACCCCAGCAATACAAGTGCCACAATCGTGGCCCCTGCCTGGATGGCTCCAAGATGGAAGGAAAGGAGGGGTTGGTCACGAGTTCTCACACCTTTATAGGCTTCAGTCCATTTGCATGCAGGAGTCAACTGTCCAATTAATAGTCTCAAATAGGGAAGTTTCATCCTCCTGCTTGCTTGTGTGTCCGCCCTCCTCTTTTCACGTTGTTTATGCTTAGGGCTTGAAGTTTAAAGATACTGTCCTTGAGTCCCTAGCTGGAATTGGACTGTTTTCATCACCCAAGCAGAACGGAAAAGCACATCCAAGCAGAACAGAACAGAAAACTTAAACTTAGAGGTATCAGCCGCATCACCCTCCCAGCATCCGGCGGCCCGGCCCCGGAGGGCAGGGCAGCCCCTGCTGGCGCTGGTCGTGAGGCTGCACCCCCCCGTCAGAGGCTCGGGGGGGCTGCTGAGTTGGAGCGGCTGACGGCGAGCTCGCCTGTACCCAGCGGCAGCCAGCGGTATCAGCTCCGGGCGGGCGGCGGCGGCCACGTCAGTCGCCACGGCGATCGGAGCGCTCCCCGCCCCCGACCCGGTGAAGGAGGGGGCGCCCGGACCCGGCCGGGGAAAGGACAGAAAAGGCAGGTCAGCCGCCGGTGGCCCAGCTGCAGCAGCAGTGGCGGTGCCGGGGCTGGCCCCCGCCGGCGACCCCGAGACGGCAGCCGCCAGGGCATGGGCAGCAAAAGCGGGCACAGCTGCCGGGGACGCGCAGTCCCCGTGCGCTGCCAACTTTTCGCTCGCGGTGCCTCGAAGTGTCTCAGGCACTGCTGCGCTGAGTTGAGTGGCTTTTAAAACTTCTAGTTCCTTATTTACAGCTTGCATAACTTGTTCTGTGATAATGGCCATGAATTGAGTGACCACGCCACTTGGAAAAAACTCTGTCTCTGCGGGCGAGGGGGACACGTGAGCAGGGAGCCGGGGCTGGGAAAGCGGCTCGGCTGCCTCATCCCGTGAGGGGGGGGAATGGATGCCCCTTGGAGCGCGGCTGGGGGAGAGCAGCGGTCACCGCCGCTCCTCCCTTGGTTTGGGGAAGGTGGGGGACGAGCGGGGAGATCAACGCCCCTCGCTGGGCTCCGCGGGGCCCCCGGAGAGGCAGGGACCACCGCGCAGCCGTCCTGGCCGCTCGCAGTGGCAGCAGGCGGAGAGGGATCAGCCTGCATTTCTGCGTGCCTGGACTCTGCGATCTTGCTCGCAGCGAGAGCTCGGGCTTGTGCCAGCACAGCCCGCACGGTAAAGGGCCCCGCGCTTTCCCGCGGTGGAAAACCATCCCTCCCCGGGACGCAGATGGGGAGATTGGGAGAGGTAAAAGTTCCGGTGCAGTCCAAATCAATTAAAATGTCTCTCAGAGTTGAGAGCACGGTGTCCTGCTGTTTAGAATGATGAATTCCCATATTTAAAGAGAAACCCAGTCCTCCCAGGAGCGATCCTGGGGTTTCCACCGCCTAAAGCGAGGTAAACAATAGCTCTGGAGCAAAAGTGCTCCCGTTACCTCTGTGATGGAGGCACAGCCGACGAATTCCGTGGGATGTCCCGTCCCGCTGCAGTCGGGTGGGGATCCACGATCTTCCCAGATGGCTCTCTCGGTCCCGGCCGTCGTCACCGGTCCGGTCCTGACCCCAGGGTCCTGAGCCTGCTCCGGCACGACTCTGGCTAGACAAAGCTCAGTTCTAACGGCAAGCCCCGGTTATCGACAGCCTCGCTGGGTCTGTCCTGGTTCAGCAGGCTTCGGGCCTCGAATTCTTCGGTGCCCTTGTCGGCAGAGGTCTCGTGGACCTTCAAATGTCCATCGGTGGGACCTTCAAATGTAGCCATGGAAAGGGATTTTAACCCTTTAAGTACGGCGGAAATAAGATGCACAGCTACATGGTCGTCTTTCATGACAGAAAGAAAGAGACAAGTTTATTCAGAAACACACTTGGTTTTATAGCATGACTGCAACTCCAAGAGTAGAGAAAAGGAGATTGGTTCAGAGAGAAGACACCCCATTCCCAGGGCCTGGTCACACACCACAACAGGTGTTCTATCTAGTTATTAATTACTTTTTATTTTGACCAAATTATCACCCTGGGAGAAATTCTCCCTAGCCTTGAGCTGGACCAGCTTATCAGCTGGGAACAAAGCTGAAAAGCTCCAGCCTGGAATATTTTTCAGGCTGTAATTTTCTTACTTTCTCAATATGTGCCCCTACATGATTATTATCTGCATTATAGTTGAATTAGTTTAAAAAATGAAGCAACCACCTCCTTCCAAAAACCATACACATGAGCCATCTCCCAGTTTTGGATTTTACATCTGTAGTCTCAATTGCACCATCACTTACTCCTTTTAATTGATGGTTCGAAGTTGCTATTGCTCTTATCTAGTCAGTATTTAACATTTTCTTTCTTCCTGATCTTCATTAATATTCACTGGGCCAGACACATATGTCTGATGCCTTTCAGTCATTTAATGTAAGAGAGATCAATGAAATGCAGGGTTACATATCTACCCAGCCACAAGACAGGTTGCCATTACTGCAACATGGCCTGAGTGTAGTTAGTTCTATCATCCTCATGTGTGAGAAGTGGATTTGTAAAGGATTCTCAAAGCCTGACTGAAAGCTCACACAGTCCTGTCCATCTTATGCAAACTCTGAGATAAAGTGTGCTGACATAGAAAGGCCATAGAATAGAGAAGACATTGTTGAGAGAGAGACTGAACTAGAAACAAGTTTCAAACAATGGCCTTGCAAAAAGACCAGATATTTTGAAGAATTAGAACTGTGAAAGACGCATTGTAGCAAGACCACGTGGGGTAAAATAATAGGTGATTTGTGTTAGAAGTATCAGCACCATTGTGTGGCAAAAAGGTAATAGGCTGAAAAATATTTATAAGGTATTGTAACCAGGAAATAACTCAGCTTCTGATAGAATGGTGTAGAGTTTTTCATCTCTAATGTTTCAACCTGCAATGAGACTGATAATGGAGCAAAATCTTTTAAAACACCTCTCAATTGCCCTGTCTCTGTAGAGATGGGATTTTCTAACACTCATGTAGTTCAGCACAAAGCAGACACCAAGAAGGGAAGTACAGATTTGGGATTTACACACAGGCACAGCACAAACTTACAGATTCAGGCCTGCCTCCTGAACTGCATCACCTTTATTTTTAAAGACTTACAGAATTCTGAGACAGCAACATGCTGATTATCAGGAAAAGTGTAAGAAAGGTAGCAAAAGTACAGAATTTCTTGTTATCTTGTCGATAAAGGGTTACAAGGTTACAGGATCACATCCTCACTGCTTTTCTTCCGGGTATTACAGCACTTAACTAGTTCTCTTTTGTTGAGCTTTTTTTTTACCGGGAATGACTAAGGAATGAGGCCTATAAGGACTTTTTTTGACAGTGCTGATTTACATGAGGAGAGATACATCCCTTTCAGCTTCTCTGGCCGATGTTAACAAGTCACCAACTCTGTTCAGTAGTTTTGGCAGCAATGAAATAGGGAATCTTAATTAAACTAATGGTGAAAATGAGGGTTTTGATGAGGTCTTTTTCCAGCACTTATTCATACGACAAGCATCCCAATCCATGTGAAAACTTTTCTTGGCTTGGTGAATGCAATTTCCATCTTGAGAAATCCCTCATTTTTCCGCTCATTTCAGGCATATACACAGAGTTAGGATCCATTTGTGGTGCTGTCATTTGTGACCGAGTCAGAGGGTCAAGACTGAGGACATGCCAAATTAGAACCCACTTCTCTTCTCTTAGCTTGTTGCAAGCTGCAAAACAGTGGATGAAACTTTCCAGTAAATTGGCAGTCAAACTCTGCACCGAAATATGTTCTGTACCTTGCAAAGCTCTCTGGAATGCATTTTGATGTTTTTAAATTTCTAGAATATCTTTTCAGTGGAGCATTAGGACTGTAGTTTAGCTGCTCTAAAAAAAGTCACATCAAGTGATCCAGTAGCTGCTTTTGGTTTGTCTGAAGTCCTTCATCAGTCATTTTGAAACTACAGGGATAGTGACTTCCTGTCCTGACTGTCTTGAGGTTGGGAGGGATTTTAATTAGAACCCAGGCTATGAGATGTTGGATTTTTGTGAATCTTTTCTAGTCTTGTCATTTTTAAATGTCCACTTTAAAATAGCACTGTGATAAGAATAATTATTTTCTTTTATTGTTGTTATATTTGTATCCTTGAAATTAGTGGGTATTTTTGGCTTAGTTATGGCTGAACATCATTAAAAGCAAGACAACATCTCTCAAAAAACCCAAAGGACAAACCTCACAGTTTTCTCCTGAGAAACCATTGATTTATAATAAAAAGTGAAGTAACATTTTGAGATGAAGCACATAAGCCACTTCTCTGTGGTGTATTAGGTCTTGGTAGTTCCACAAATTCTCAGTCGAAAACTCACTTTGACTGTCTATTATAATATTAAAACCCTTCCATTTGCCATTCAGAATGCTGATTGTAGTGCCAGTGCTAACTGAACAAAGAATTTAGCACTCCCAAAAACTGGGCAAAAGGAGATTAATTTGAGATATTCCTAAAGCCAACATCAGTTGGCCACTTTTTAAAAGATCTCTGTAGAGTCTAAGATATAGAAATTTTCTATTCTATATGTGGTTCATCTTACCTTGCAAAAGATAAACAAACTGGTTACAGGAGCCTCACTGTGGAAAATCTCATCTTTTTAAGAGCATAACCAGGTAATACAGACATACCTCTGAAATGCTGGTTTCAGGTGGGAGATACCAAGCAACAGGTGAGAGGACTAGGTGTAGAATCTGCTCCGGTTGGTTGGACTCGAACAGCATCAGGACAGAATTATAGCCAGAATGAGTCTGGGTTCTGAGCAGCCTCAATTATTAGTTAATGACCCAGTATTACATGGTCAAATGTGATCCAAATTAGTCCGACTCCCTCTGCTGTAACACAAGCCCAGGTCATACATGTGGTGCATTTACAGCAAGTAGGAGAAACAGTACAAAATGCCCAATATTTCAATTTGCCATAGTTTTCCTAAAAGAGTTGGAATTGAAGCGACAGCTTTAGTGTCAAAGGATGCAATGTTGCAGCCAGAGGTTACAAATGTCTGGGCTGAAAACTCTCCGGAGGAGGCTATTTGCAACAGGCAGAATGAAAGAGAAATCACTTTTAAACAAGCACTACAGAGGTAATACTGAATTAAAACACAGAGCCATGGCAGGGGTTCAGGGCGTATTTTCACAATCTTTTGTCAGGTAGTCATTCAAACATCTTGATACAGAACCATTTACATTCAGTTGTGAAGTCCATGTGCTTTTTGATACCTGAGTAAGTCCACTTCATGCAAATAGATTGTTGCGGGAAAAATAAAGGAGCAGAGATACTGTCTCAAAGGTGGCACAGTGGTGGGACTGCTGCATCTATGATGGACAATTAATGAGAATTTGATCCTGTTTTAATAAAAGTTTACCCTCAGTACTCTTCTGCTGCTGAGCTGTTTGCATCATTTCACATTTCACCCATGCAGGTCCATGTTTATACAGCTGGGATGGAGAGCAGGGACTGAAACCAGGAGCTTTCAGTTATAGGAGACCTTTGGGTTTTGAAAAAAGCCCTGTCCACCTCCCTCCTGTCAGCCAAAGCCCAGAGGGAGGATAGATATTTCCTCATGCTCCAGGTGCCATTCTGTGAGGAAGAGGCAAAAGACCTTGAGCTGAAATGACCACACAAGTCAAATGCCATGATCATACACCTCTCTTCTTTCAGTCTCAGTTTAAATTGGACTTGGAAATGACAAACACCAAGTGTAGATGCCACACTCTCTCACATGCATCTCAGAAGAACACGTTCTATTCTTTACTCCTAGTCTAAGTTCAGTTTTACTCCAATGTTTGAGTGTTATTAGAACATTATTAAATCCATAAAAATACTGGAGGGTTCTGGTAGTCTTTCCCCATGTAAAAAGTTGGTTCCAAAAGCCAACAACTTAAAAAAAATCATAAAAATGCACAACTTTAGATTTGTCTTGGTACCAGATGCTTAAATGAAATGAGCCTTTTAAGTATAAAGTAATAGATGGGTAAAATTTAATGGCAAACCAGTTATGTCTGTTTACAAGTAATTTTGATAGTGAAAGCAATCCAAAGCTTTACTGTATCTTAAGTATTTCCGCACTTGTCCTGTTTTTTAAACATTTCCATACTTTATTTTCCTACAAAGCATTCTCTTAGCTTTTTCCAGCCACATTAAATTGTACGTCTAATCAGTGTTAAAATGGGAAACCTTTATTAATCTTTCTCTGAGTGCTCAAGACAGCCTAAAGCAGAGGAAAATGAAAGTCAGCTTTGGAGCTTAGCACTCCAAAAGATCTTAAATTTTTACAAAATTCTTGTTTAACTATTCCCATTAATTATGAACAATCTCATGAATTGTCAAGAAAGACGTTAGATATAAATGAAACACAATATACATCAAAAAGAGGTAGGAAAAAATTCAGGAAATGTTCAGAAAGGCAAGTTTCAGAAATTAGGAAAATTTACATAGTATCAACTGTGAAGTAAAGATATTTAACTGAAGTTCTCCACAATAGCAATAAAAAATGACAAGAAAAAATAAACCCCCACAGGGCACAAATTCTGGCTATTGAGCTTTAGTC